ATCCAGTAGTCCATTAAATTCATGTCCTTGAATATTTAGTTTTAGCATGGGACGAGAATCTAAATTTAAAGACAGCATAGCCCAATCTACACCTGTGGAGCCTAATCCCCTGGAACCTCTTTCTATAGTACTACTGGAAAATTTATCATGTAGGCTGGGTATTATTAATAACTGTGCTATTCTATCTCCTGGTGAAATTACTGATATACCCTTTGGAGAACTAGCTATAATTTTTATTTCACCTTCATAATCGGGATCAATTACCCCGGGACTTATCATAAGTCCTTTTAGCGTAGAAGAACTGCGTCCTAACAATAAGCCTACTGTTCCTTGGGGAAGAGGTCCTTTTACTCCTGTGGGAATGATTTGAACTCCCATCTTTGGAGTTAGTACTGCTCTGGCGGAGGCGCAGATGTCCAACCCTGCGCTTCCTCTGGTTCGTCTGATGAGAGATCTGATGGATAATGTGTCCTGGGCACTACCCTGATGGTGTTGCTGGCTTCCTCCATGGTGTTTCTGGGTTCCTCCAGTGCCCCGTACATTTGTGGTCGTGGGCCCCGGAGCATTGGGCCCCCCTGTCCGTTTTTTGGCAATGGAGCTCGATGCCTTTCTCCACGATATCGTGGGTAAACACTTGGTCCTTGTCTGTTTTTTGATAACGGAATACCCTCTATGGTGGTTTGAGAACGGCATTCATTAGCCCAATGTTTCCCTCTACGGCATCGTGGGCAAATACCCGGTATTCTATTCGTTTGATATCTAGCTTTGTTAAACCCTCCTCCTATGGGGCAACTCCTTTTAAAATGTCCTGTTTGATCACAATTATAGCATGTTTTTGGCCTGGCATCTAAAGCCTGTTGTACTGCTGCTAAGACTTGCCCTTGTTCGTTAATGTCTCTACATAATTTAATATATGTGTTTAAATCTTCATGTCTCCATGGTCTAATGACCTCTCTGCAACAATGATTTGCTTGGTCATAAGCCAGTTGTTTTATAAATGGCATTGCCTGTTCTGTATCCCCAAAAATTCTGGAAGCTGCTTGAATAAGCCTATCTACAAATTCAGCGTAAGGTTCATTAGTTCCTTGTATTACCTTAGATAATTGACCTTGTAAACCTCCATGCCCCTGTAAAGTTTTCCATGCCCTAACCGCATCTACAGCAATTTGTGCGTATACGCCAGGATCATATTCAATTTGTTGCCGTTGACCCTCATAAGGTCCTTTTCCTAACAACATATCTAGATTTCTTTGAGGGTAACCGGCTGCTGCATTTCGTCTAGCTGTCTCCCTGCAAAATTCCTCATTGGCAACCTTCCATAACAAATATTGTCCTCCATTTAGCACAGATTTACACATACTAGCCCAATCTGCTGGCGTCATGTCCAAGTTGGTAATGGATTCGACCATGCTTACAGTGAACGGTGCTTGAGGACCATAGGTTGTTACAGCCTCCTTTAACTGCTTCACTGTTTTGAAATCTAAAGCACGGTGAATTCGCTGCCCTCCTGCCTGCTCAAGTACAGGGCATGCTAATCTTTGAGGTCCTGTCTCAGGATCCCATCTATCAACTACGGGGTTTGAGGGCCACTCAGCTATCTCCATAGGGGGAGCTGTTGGTTGAATTACGCCCTCTGGTGATAGAACGGTGTTAGTAGCAGCCTCCTGTTGTAGCTTTTTCCCTAATAGCTGTTTCTCCTCTAAGCTTTCTTCCTTTAAATTTTCTTCCTCTGTCTGACTAGCTTGAGAGACCTTCTCTTTTGCATGATCTAAAATGTCTTTCTCCATGGTCTGAACCTCTAACAATTTACTTAACACTCTTTCAGTTTGTTTTTTACTAATTTCTAATCTGTTATAAAGATAATGCAACCCAGTAAGATAACACAAAACAAAACCGAAACAGAATGAAACAAAAACGGAACAAAAAATCGTTGTATCAATTTTCCTATTTTCTTGACATGTGCATTTGTGGTCTATTTCTATCTCTTCCTCAGGGGCGAACAACTTCAAACCTTGAGCCAACCATTTTTCCCAATCTGCCTGAGAAAATTCTAGGGATAGGCAGCTTGAAACAAACACAAAACAAATCAAAACAAGAACACATTGTTTTTTAAAATGGTCACCCATTCTCTCGCCTTCCCTTAGGGGCAAGCAATTTCATTTACCCCGAAGCTTCAGACGTTCCCCGAACGGGCCGCCAAATGCCGCAGTCTGGCTGGGCACAAATCACGAGCCACTGAAGCAGGAACAAACTTTATTTTTATACTGCAGGAAAACACTTCACACAGCTCCCGGGGAATCCTCCCGAATGCGCCAGGAGGCTTGTCCAGGAACCCCCAGCCGGAAATATCTCTCCCGGAAATCCCTCCTCCTGCACTCCCCCAACCAATGGGAACTCTCGGGGAATCCCCGGAAATCCCCACGAGAACTCCAAAATAGTGCGAGAACTCAAAAGTTGCGGCAGAGGCGGATAGTAATGCCTCGCCTGTCAATCAATACTGTTGGCAAAATGCCAGGGGCCATACAGACTCGGCGGTGGCTCTCAGCACCCCACATTGGTAGATGGGGGTCCACACGAGAGTGGCTGCCAGAGTTCCTGTGCATGGGTAGCGGCCAGAGATCCTGCATGGGAGTTGTGTCCTGGATTTCTGTGTGGGTGGGTGGCCCTGAGTTCTGCACTGGTGCTGATGCCAGTGGTCCCACTCTGGCACCCAGGAGTCCTGCACGGGTGAGTAGTTTGGGGTCCTGCTCTGATGCTGAGCCTTGGAGCCCTGCACAGGTATGGAGGCCTTGATTCCTAAGTGAGAACAGCTATAGGGGGGTCCTCTATCTCTCACAGAGAAGCAGTATTCCCACTACTTGAGTCCCAGGTCACAGAGTGACACAGAATGCTGTTCCCCTCTGGCCCGCCATCTTGGATCCCACTGGAGGACATATTTTTAAGGAATGCTTTCAAATGAATAAGGATTTTATATGGTAAAGTAACATTTTTGCACTAAAATCCAAGACACACATTTCTGGTATGGGAAAAAGGAAGGTAAGACAAGATCTAAGGATGTTATCAATTGTACAATGTCTCAGTCAGTTGCAAAAGTTTATAAACATCCGTGTTTTTTAAAAATGTATGTGTAATTAAGTTGGGTATAATTTTTAAAAGAGCTATTTAAAGGGTTCTTCTGAGTTCAAAACCAAATGCACTAATATCAGGCCACAAGCTAGTTCTCTATGTTTAGAGAAGCATGGTTTACCTAAGAGATTAATTTATCCCTGGGAATGTTTACAAAAACTTGTCTAGGAAGCAAAGGTTTTCCATTTTCATTAACATAATTTTTTGGATTTTGCCACTGTTATTTGTTAGGTTTTGATTTCCTAGGAAAACTAAATGTTACATTCAAGGTTCATTAAATATATGTTTTAAAATCCATCACATGATCACTTTATATCTCTAGTTAAGTCTAATTAAATGAGCAACTATAATTTTATCATGATATGGGATATATGGCATTGATAAAAATGTTCTAAAGACATTCTAAAACTTGGAAATCTCGTGGTCCTGCCATAATACTGTTAGTCATAAGTACTATCTTAAAATTTAATGTACTATGAATGTAGCTAAATTGTCACATTAGTTTCCAAATTCTCATCAAAATCCTAACCTCAGCTGTTTTAAGTCATTTGTGGCCCACAGGTCTGATTCTCTCTGAAGCATTTACAACCAGAGTCCTAGGACAGACTCCAACAAGTACTCATATATACATATTTCTAATAAAACCAAACTTTTTTTTTACAAACTGGTTATCCTTTGATTTTCTTATTAAAATTTTGTATGCTTGAAAAATTGTTCCAATATTTAAAAGTGCTATACAAACTAAATTCATTTTGTCTTCTTGGTTTTGTTTGGTATTTTCCTTTTTTTTCAGTTTACAAACAAACTTTATTTAAGAATATCTGTGTCAGCAACAGTGTTTAGATTGCTTTTGTTTTTATTAAAAGTATTTTCCTTTTAAAGCTTTGTTAATGTATCCTTTCGGAATTCTGCAGAAGTGCCACACCTCATAAGGATCTGGACTGATGTTTTGAGATGTAGGCCATTCCCTACAGAACATACAAGATTTTAAAAAACCTAACAGTGGACTCAGGTAAGCTTGGCCTAAAAACCACTCCTTCTAATCCTCCTTGTTGCCCAAATATGTCAAAAGAGACTTTGACACTGAATCCCATTCAGTAATCACTATCCCTCCAATGTGGGACAGACAGATGCATCCTAGCAATGAGGGACAATCAAACAGGATCAGTGATCAGCAATTGTCTTCAGGAAAACTGTCACAAAGACAAGGCAGCATTTGATTAAAAGAGAGAGAGAGAGAGAGTCATCTGAATGAAGGTGAAGTCACTTGTGTTAGCCCTTCAAAGAACTAAGTAAAACCAGGAAGTTGTAAAGAAAGTTCTTATGCATGAGTGACTGATAATTATCACAGAAGACTCTGCCAGAATCTTAAATTTTTGCTGTGTCAACTGGATTCTAATCTAACAGACCTACTCACCTCTTGGTTTTCTGGAACATCTGCTGAAAAAATACTACCAAAAAGTGATGGCTCACACCTGTAATCCCAGTGGCTTGGGAGGCTGAGACAGAAGGACCACAAATTCAAAGCCAGCCTTGGGAATTCAGTCAGGCCCTAAGCAATTGAGTGAGACCCTGCCTCAAAATAATACATAAAAAAGGCTGGGGTTGTAGAAAGCCCATAATCTGTCAAGCACATCTAGTTTGTCCCAGAGATATTCTTTTCATAAAAGGTTAAACATATAACTTATATGTATGTCTTTTTCTACATTTTGGCCATGAAATGAAAAGATGTGAGTGGGCTTGCATTCTTGAAATTTTTGTTGTTTTTTTTTTTTTTAATGAAAAATGCAGGGGTTGGTGGGAAATGGTCCAGAGGCTGAGAAGTAAGAAGTATGTCTGTGTATTAAAGGCAAAGATGCTCAAGTCACTGGTAATTAACAGAAGGAATGATCTAGCCTATTTATTTCCAATCAAGGCTGCTTCCCCAGTTGCAAGGACCCCAAACCCAAAGGTAGACAGTAAAGTGAGATAGGCCAGTGCTGCTCATCCAGGTTCACTATGGGAATGTATGAGTCTCATGGAAAACTTACAAAATAAGATTCCTGATGTGGCAGTTGGTGATAGAGCAATGTCTCATCCCAGTTTAGAAACTCATGAATTATACAGAAGGAACTTTAAAAAGTGTCCTGTTTTTCTTTAGATTTTTTTTCCCAGAAAGATATAAGGAAAGCTTTGAACATGTGCTTACAAGATTATGGGTAATTCAGTGTCTTTCTCTGAGAACTAACCTCAGGTACATATTAAATAACTGAAATTATTTGAAGGCAGAGCACTAGAGGAAAAAGAAACTGATCTTTTTTTCTGTAACACAGCTTGGCTCCAATATAAGTTAGAGAGTGGAAAATAAGAAGGCTCCAAAGAGATGAATCCAGGCTTCAGAACAGGCCTAACTGCTCACCTTACCTTAGGCAAAACCCCCTGTCCTCAAAGGTGCCCCAAGGCGCTATATAAAATAGGGGAAAAATAACTCTAATCCCAGAGGCTGCTACCATTGCAGTGATCCTGGACCCTGGAGCAAGGACTGCCCCAGAGTCCACCCACACCTGAGTTATGCCCCTTCTGCAAAGAGGGAAATCATAAGAGATAAGATAGTTGATCTGCCCTGAAAGACTGAGGATACCTGAGCTTTCTAGAGTTCTCTTCAATCAACTGGAATCATTTCAGAAGAGCGTTGGGTAATTTTGCTATATTTGATGTGGCAAGTAATGTTAATTGCCCTTTGGACATGGGGGTTTGATTTTCTCCATTGATTGAAACTCCTGGACCTCTTTCCAATCAAACTTGTCTAGTAACCAGAGTTGATGGGACTCCTCAGCATAAAGGATTAATATACTAACAAGGTCCTCTGGCTCTTGAAAACTCACCTCAGACACCAACATTTCAACTTGGAGTTTATATCTTTTTTTTTTTTTTTCAGAGTAGAAATTAGAAGTTTATTAAAGGACAGCAGAAAAGACTTCTCCCGGAGGAAGAAGGGGACCCAAGAGGTGGAATCCGTGGAAGGGATGTTGTCTCCCCTTTTTATAGTTCTTTCAGTGATGGAATGTAGGTGGGAAGGACCGAGGGTTGGGACATAGGTGGGCCAAAGAAGTAATCTGGTCGGGAAGGACTTCTGAGTCAGGCACCTTTTTGCTGGGGGCTGTTCATTAACATTTCTTTGAGGTGGACTTTGGCCTAGGGCCTTTTGGGACTTCATTAACATTCCATGAGTTGTCCTGTGTTTTCCCTGAGTCATTCTCTGCATGGTCTCCATTTCAGATTTCACTCGATATTAGACCCGATTTACCTAACTACACTGACTATCTAACTTTAAATCTGGCTTCATTCCCCCCTCTAAGTTGGGAACTCCTTACTGCTATAAGGAAGGGGGGCGAAGAAGATCTTTCTGGCTTCTTCAGGCTGAAAAGGGAAGATGTGGGGCAAGCAGTTTGGAGTCCCCATTTAAAAATCGGGTCTATCGAGTGGTCCATGATAGAAGTCTGATTGAGAAGTAATAGTCTGGAGGGCCATTTGAGTGATGGATGGTCTATAAGAGAAACAAGAATTCATTAGTACTGGAACCATGCCGCAGTCTGGCTGGGCACAAATGCCGCAGTGTGGCTGGGCACACAATCACAAGCCACCACACAGCTTGTAGATTCAAACAGCAACTCTTTATTCTCGAACTCACACCAGCCGTCTACAAACACGTTCTGGGGAAATCCACGTTCTCTTCCCAAATCCTCGTCCACTGGGCTTCTATCTCCAAAATATACTGTCTAAATCCCATGAGAACTCAAGGGGAACTCAGGCAGCAGGATACGCCCTATTCCCAGCAGGAATAATCTTAAGCCTTAAACCTGGAACCTAAACTGGGAACGCCCTAAACACGATTATCTTAAAACCGGGAACACCCTAATCTGCCTTGGTCCTTGAGCAAGGTCACCTACATTCAATGTCACTGCAACATGTCAGCAACATGGGGTATGCTGGCAAGGAAATTGTCATACCTACTTGGCTAATGGCTCCCAGCAGAACCATATTGATGCAGCAATAAATGCCATAGCACAGGAATATGCCAATGAGTATGATGGCAAAGACAAAGATTAACAATGTTTTCCACCAGGAAGTACCAAGAACCAGGAGCTAAGATATTGTTTCCATGACAAAGTTGCTGAGGACATGGCTTCTATCTGAGCATGTAAATCTTTAAGGATATTTGTCACATTGCCAGAAATGTCAGGGGTGTAAACACAACATTTAACTTTTAGGGTTACAGATATTCTTTCCCTTAAGATATAGTTTAATAATTTAATGTCATCTGATCTTGCAAAATCCTTTTACTAGTATGACCTCTGTGTCTAATAGAGAAATCTTTAATTCTGTTACTTAGGGCTGGATAACCATACTAGCAAACACTAAGCCTACCTGTGTAGGTTAGAAATAAAGGCCTTAAACTAAAAACTACTCTGGCAGTTCCTTTTGATAGTTATCAGGCATTCCTGTCTGAGAATCTCTTTTGTAGCCTCCAGTTTACTTATTTTTGGAAGTTACATTTAACAATTATTATTATTTAAAATGTCCAGGAACAGCTGTGCTTTGGCTTTGACTGTCTTTGCTAAGTGTTTAAGATGAAGCAAGTCAAACTGACTTTTGTTTTTATCTATTGTTAACAGTCAGCTGAGCTTCCCTGGGAGTCCTCGGGGAACTTCACAGCAGCTTCTCAGTTACGCTAGTACCATTTGCGCTAGGATGGGTCCAGGCCTTGCTTGACCATGTGGCTTCCCTTGGAAGCATCAGGGATGTCTCCCTTTTCTGATGACCCTCCTCTTCACAGCAAATGCACTGATTGGCTTTCTGTCCTCCACTGGTCTCATTAATCTCTCTGCTCAGGAGGTTATGAGGCCTAGAGTTGCAGAGCCCTTTGGAGAAGTCCCCTATTCCCTGATTCAGACTGACTCAGAGGGCAAGAGCCAAATTTTTAATTTTAAAACTTAATCTTAAACATCCAGCAAATAAGTTAACAGCCTTATATTAAGAGCACTGGGCTTTAATGTCTATCTCTCTATCCTGTAGGTGATAACTCCTTATCTTATGTTGACACAGGTTGTGTTCTTAAAGCAGTACCTCTTTAAAACATTAACAGGCAATCCTTAAACCATCTATAAGCAAACTACAAAACAAAACTAACTAGGGTAAAAACATATTTAGCTTATATAATAGCTACCTTGAATTCTGGCAGGGTTAAACATCATAATTCCCTGTTTGAGATCCTGGTAATTGTGACAAAAACCAACTTTTGGACACAACTTTAAATGTACTGAAATCTGGCCTACTTCTTCCATAGTCACTTTCACATGTAGTGAGATGGGACAGAGCCTTATCTCAAGTAAGGCAGGGCTCTTCATAAATCTTAAGTACTGTAGTTCTGAAACTGATCTTCTTTGCTTTTTAAACATCATTTTACAAAGCCTACATAAACTGTTGCTCGTTCACATGAATATTAGCTAACACAATATAATATCACACCTAAAACATGAATTAAAGAAAAGATGAAAGCTTTTAACCTTTTGTAGAAAAGTAGCAAAGTGCTTTTGTGTTTTGCAATAAAATCTTTACACAGATTAGGCTCTCACTAACTTAAAAATACATTTAAATTGTATCTCAGTGTAAAAAGTAACATAGAACTTTACATATCTTATGGATAACAAGTCCAGGTATAGAACACAAATGATATAAATAAATCAACATGTTTTTCTTTTTAAATCTAAAATTACCATACAATTTCAGAACACCAGCTTGATATAATGCTCTTTCTAAAGCTTCTACCTTACAGACTTGTATACCTGGAAGATATGGACACATTAACACCACAATTACATTGATGTTTTTATATTAACCAAGTTTAGCTTTTAAAGAAATAACATAGCACAATTCTCTAAAACAACAGCACTTGTTTGACCAGCTGTTTAATTTCTTTAAGATTACTTGCTCAAAAACTTACACTTATAAGCAACTTACACAGACCTTTTTTATATCATTTACTTAAACCCTCTTAATCATATAGACTCTTATCCAGAAACACATTTTCCCTCTATTAAATCCATATCTAGAACCTTCTAGTTTCTCTCTTTTATCTGTTAACCTCCTTCTGTTCACATTTTGAAACAATACTTGTAAATTTTTTAATTTAAGCAGATTTAACATTTTATTAGGGCCTTTTTGAACATCTAGAAAAACTTATAAGCTTAATTTTAAAGACATCTTTACTTTCATCTGTTTACCCAATTTAAATTGAACCATTTAAATCACGTGAATCAAAAGATATTTGGATCCATTTTTGAATTTTTTATGAGCACTCCTCATCTGTCAATTGTCATATCACTGCATGATATATGGACATACACACATACAGACATACAGACATACAACACGTAACACAAGTGTAACACAACACAATAGTAAAGGCTTTGTAGCTTTCTCAGGTGAAATGTCATTGCAATGTTTAAAAAAAAAAACTCCAGTTGATCAAAAATAGAACTTATCAGAAAAACACTAACTTGTCTGTAGGATCAAAATCATGAGCTCAAAAAAAAAAAAAAATACAAAATCTAAGAAAAAAATGTCCTAGAAAAAATTGACCGGCCAGTAATTAGTAAATGCCATACCACTTACTCTTTGGTTTAATCTAGTTTGAGTGCCCATAAAAAGACACTTTTACTCTTTTTTTTTTCTTGGGCCTCAGATCTGTCTCCTACTGAGTGCTCCAAGCTTCTTCTATTTGCATATCAACTTAAGTCCTGGCTGAGGTCTGGAAGGAACTGGGAAAACTGGAATTCTGAGCAGAAACCTCATGCCTAAGGCATTTTAACCATAAGTACCATGTATATCCAAAATTAAGCTTTAAAAATTTTTAAGACTGTTGCTATTTAATGTCATTTCAATAAGCCAGACCAACGTTTTCTTTTCAGGCTACCCAGTTCAAAAATTGATGAAAAAAATAAAACTAAATGATTGGGTGTTACTTGCCAACTGGGAAGTAGAGTTCTTTTAATTTTCTATCCTAAGTATTTAAGTTCTCCGGCATGAATTATCTGAAATCACAAACTAAACAATTACCTAACCCCAACTTTCAACTGCAAGATTATGCAATGCTTCAAACTCATTTAGATACCAGATGTTACAATAAAAAAATCAAAACAGACAGACCAGATAAGAGAAAAATCTCTCCAGGTTTTTAACTCTCATTTAATTATGACTTCTACATCAGTGGCACCATAGATTTCCCCATGAGTGGACCAGATGTTCTCACATAGGGGCAACTATAGGTGTAAAATCAAGGGTACCTATGCATCTTAGGGAACCTGGGCAGATTTTACTAATTATCTCATGCCTTTCTCAGTCCTACAACCTGAATTGCTAACATTTCTGACCTGCGAAGGAAGGGGAGCATCCAGGAGGGAATGGATGCGGGGTTGGGAGTGGTGCATAGCCCATACGGAGGCAAATGTGATTGGGGCTTTTCCTCAGTGCCATTCATCTACCGATCACCCTAGATACCCCTGAGGGCTGTCGGGAGGGGGCTCAAGAGAAAGGAACCTTAGGAATCGTCTGAGTGTAGCCCAGACCGGAATTCCGCAGTTGTTCCAAACTCCTTCCTCCACCTCCACGCATCCGAGGCAGATCGGGATTCGGGACACTGTGTACTCACGCCAACTGCTCTCCGGGCCCAGACAGAAAAGTTGGAAGCGGCTTTGGCAGAACCCAACATGCCTGCTCTGTATTGAACAGGTGATTGAGAGCTGCCTAGGCCGGGAAACCTCTCACCCGAGTCTTGAAGAGTGGCGGCTGCACTAATTGCGTTTAAGTAGCCGTCGGGTGCCCACCTTACCCTCCAGAAAGAAAGAGAGAGAAAGATGCACCTCAAACAGACATGGGGTGTGTGCACTTACCTCGGTGTAGAATCTCGGTATGGGACCTCCAATATGTTACCGCTGTTGACCGGTGACGAGTTCTTGCTTCCCCAATGTTGAAGAATAACACCAAAGAAGCACGCCGAGGCAAGGTCAGAGTAGAAATTAGAAGTTTATTAAAGGACAGCAGAAAAGACTTCTCCCGGAGGAAGAAGGGGACCCAAGAGGTGGAATCCCTGGAGTTTATATCTTACTGAAAATTATGGAAAGGATTTTCCCTCACATTAGTTCCTTCCAAAGTGGGAAGATCTTTATCAAGATTTTTTTAAGTGTACTCACAGTTAAATTCCAGGGATATACTGTTTGGATCCATGTGTCTAGATTTAAATCTATTCCTCTTTAAGACTTAATGAGATCAGAACCTTGATGAAGCCACAATCAATATTCATGTCTCTATGGGCCCTATTCAAAAGAAAGAAAGATTTTGTTTAAGTTAAATTTCCTTATGTATTATGTACCAGAAATCTTGTTCCTTTTTTGCTGTGGTGGGACTTTTTCTTTGGCTATCGGGGTTACTTTATTAAAAATCAGTCCTTGATCTGTGAATCTGCTTAGTAATCCTAAATCTCCTCACCTTTTTGGCTTCCTTATTCCTTGGAGCTACCATAGAGAAAAGCATATATCGAGAGTAATCACTAGATGCCTTCTTCATTCAGATAGGTTTTGTATCATTCAGCTTACAAATATTCCTGCTTAAGATGATTGATGGTAATGCTAGGAATGTGACCCATCTCAAGAATGGAGTTCAACCTTCCTATGTCTCCTTCAGTTTAGGCAGGGTGAGACTTTCCATCTCTGACTAGGCAGGGCTAATGGCATGTCCGCTTTCAGGAAGACAGACCTTCAACCTTCATGAACCCTTGAGAATAAGAGGTCAAAATCAGGGCAGGAAGAAATAAGGTGGCGTAGAAGTCATAGGATAGGTAGAAGAGAAACAGACAGGGAAGGAAAGAAGGACCATCACTATCCATCTAAGATCTCCATGAAAACACTCACCTTTACCCCACCCCCACCCCAGGCCTGTTTCTCCTCCCAGGACCACCTTCTTAAAACTCAATAAAACTTAAGGGTATTGAAGTCCAGTTCATTTGTGCCTATGTACCTTGTTAGCTGACAGAATGAATTTTTAGACTAATATAAAAAAGCCTAGAGAGAGCAATGGGGAAAGTCTAAGCACTACGAATTGCATGGTGTCAATCCAAAGATTCTGAAAGAACCAGACTCTTGGGACCCACACATGCTCAGCGGTCATCAAAAGAATCAAGATTATGCTGACACCACCCCACCTCCGCTCATGTCCACCCTTTACAAAGTGTCCTTTAAAGGTCTCCTGAGCCCTTTTCCTCTAGAGTTTTAAGCATATTTTCCTCTAGAGTTCTGCAGTCCCTCTCCCTTTGAGTGCATATCCTGCTCTATTGCTTGCTTTCCTGAATAAGTCTCTTCTTGTGCATCCTTTGTCAGGTCCTGAAATTCCTTTCTGTGATGTTGATGAATCCTGTAGACTACCTTCCCCAAGTGGGAAGACAGTGGCCAGGGCCAGGCTCAGTGTCTCTCTTAATTCTCCCACACAAGACAGTAAGGGGCATGAAGGCATTCATTGGTCCTTCTTTGTCTGCTCCACTCACCTTTGATCCTTGCCCTGTTCTTTTTAGCCTTTTTACCAGTGACCAGGGCAGAATTGCCTGCCTCACACTTTTCAACTGCCCTTAATGACGAGAATGTTTTCCTTCCCAGATATATAGTGCTTAATGCTGTGGAGGCTATGGAGAAGTCGGCACACTCTAACACTTGCACAGTGAACTGAAGGCTGATTTTGTACCTGGCCAATCATCAAACTCAGATTCCTTGCCAAGTATAAGTGTGACTTTTGACATGTTGAGTAGGAACAAGTTCTCTTCTGTCTCTGAGGGCATTCCCTGTTGAGCATCAAGCAGATTTGTGTGGTGAGCCCAGGAGGATGTCTTTTTAATATACACATCTTAAATGCTGTGCATTTATGATCTCATAACCAAGCAGACTCAAGGTCAAGCCGATCACTCCTGAGGTCTTGTGTTACTATAGAACATTCTGTCAACAGTGCTGCAAATTGGGCAATAGTCTCTTTATCTGGCTTGTTGGGCAGTATATGTCCTTGGAGACACTAACAGAGACAGGGCTGGGAAAGATCTGGCTACATAAATGTCTTCCTAGATGCATCCTGAGCCAATGTCTAATTGAAAGCAATGGAAGCCTCATGGGTGGTTTGCTGAGGTAGTTCCACTGCTCTCTAGGTTCAAGTCTACAGGTGCTGTGGGCATCATGTTCATGACGGCAGACCCAGACTGTTGCTGGCCTTGAATAGCCACCGTTTAATGATGCTGGAGCCTTGGCCTAGCACTATATGGAGAGGACCTTGTCTGTGCAGGGGAAGGTACGGGTGTGCAGTAATGGGAGAGATGCACAGAAGATCATCCACTTCTAGTGCAGGTAGAGTCAAAGTCCTAGTATGTCTTGATTAAGAGACACCCAGAGTTCAGCAACCTCTGATACATTCCCTAAATCCTGCTTATCCTGGTCCTGCATCCCTTTCCTTATGCACATCGGTTTCTTTCCTTTTTCATCCCACAGCCACAGGCTGGACAAGTGTTTTCTGGATGCTTGTTTCACTCTTACATTTGAATTCCACAAAATGTTTTGTCTGCCCAGCAGGAGACAGGGTGTCTTCCCCATTTGTCTAGGATTTTGTCAATCAGTTGTTTTGCTTAGTGGGGAAAGAAATTCTCAGAGTCAAGCCTTGGTGCATATTTTCCCACTAATTAAAATTAAATAAAGAACTCATACCAGATCGTAAAGGCCAGCATGGGCCTTAACTGTGTGTACTGTAGCCCATGAAGCTATCCTTCTAATATTCACAGTGGCTTCATATACTCCAGCCAGTGCAGGAGGAAGTAGGTTCTGGGCTCTGGAGAAGGTTGCTCCTGCACTCATAGACAGTGTCCGGGGAAGCATTAGGCCCATCCTTCTGACCCCTGAACCCATTCTGGAAAAAGGGCTGATGTTATTGGTACTGGGTCTTGTGTTCTGAGGATACACTGCACTCTTCATAGGGAGCTTCCAGTTTGTAGAAAATATTCACAACTGTTCCAGAAATTGCAAGCGACCCGCTGTCCTAAACTTAGGCACAGAATGGCAATGCACATTGTGTTCATTCTCTCTTTTCCTCTGTACCTCTTGATGAACCCCTTCCTTCCTCAGAACATGACTCACTCTCTGATCATTACTCTTGTGTGGCATATAGGACCAGTAAAAAGGGAAAGAAATGTCTCCAGAGTCTTCTGATGTGCATATCACTACCTCCAGTGGGATCAAGTTGTCCTCACCTAGAATCATCAAAGATGACTTTGAGGAGGATTGCAGTTTTAAAATGCAGAATGTCCTCATTTTCAGTATAAAATTATTGGGGGCTTTACTTAGCCTCAGGATTATATCTAATTTCCATTCCCATTATAATCTTTGCAACTGGTTTTTGGCTTCATGGAAGTTTTTTCTGTTTTTCCTCTCATGTTGTTTCTATCAACTCCCTTCCTCACTAACTCCTCTGCACACAGTGAAAATGAAAATGATTTCCTACCACATCCTCCCAAGGCAGTCTCTCTGTTTCTTGAGTCTCATGAGGGTGACACAATTCTTAGGTTCGTTGACACCTTAAAGACACACTGGTATTGTGTTTTTCTCATTTAAAACGTTCTGCCTTTCTGACTCCTTCATTCAGCTTCCCTGAATATGACAGCAATTCAGTTTAGCTTGTTTTTGTTCTATAGGTTTTAATGTCTATCTGTCAGTGAATCTATCCATCCATCCGTCCACTTATGCTGTGTGTCCACTAGCAACATAGAGACGAAATGGTGAGTTTGCTCACAAGACAGGATAATATAGAGAATTGGGCTGAATAGATAAATAAATTAGGGTTATGGAATTAGCATACAAAACACACGGAGGTGCTTAAATGAGAAACTTCTTTTGGTGAATAAGGAACTGAGAACTATTTGCCAGCAAGAGAGTTGGGCACCCTCTAAGCAGAAGAACTCTGTGCTCACATGAAAGTACAGAATTAAGCAGGAAGTTCCAAATCATGGTTTATGGTTGGAGCATCAAGTTGGATAATGGGATGGCAGAGCAGGGGATTCATAAGAATTTAGTCTGAGGTGGTAGAGGGGTAAGTCTTCAGGCCTTTGGTATTATACTCAGGTTGTCAGACCTGTCCTTGTCCTGGGGCTCTACTCAATGTTTTTAAGGGAGAAAGTGACCAAGTTTGATGTGATTTTGGAGAGACATCTCTGGCAACTATGCTCAGAATGGCTTTAATGGGTGACTGCCCAGGCAGGGAGGCCCTGTGGGGGGTTAGATACAGAATGACAGGGGTCTGGACCAAGGCTGGGTGACCAGGGAGGACGATTATATGTTATTTTGGAGGTAGAATGGGTAGAACTGAATGAGAGGATGGAGGAGGAGTAGGGGATGCCATCAGGTTTATGGTTTGAGAAAGTGTTGCATGGGACCGATGTGACCACCTCAGTCTGTCCACTCTGCCCTGGCTTGCCTCGGCCTGCACCCCACATTACATTTTGTTAATGCGACATACCCCAGGCCACCATCTCTGGACTTAATTCCATTCCTTTCCTTTCCCTCTCTCCCATTTCTTTTCTTTTCTTTTTTTCCTTCCCTCCCTCCCTCCCTTTCTTTCTTTCCTGCACTGTGCATTGAAACCCGGGGCACGTTGCCACTGAGCTGCATTTCCAGCCCATTTTGTTTTTTACTCTGAGACATTTCTCACTAAGTTTCCTAGACTGGCCTTGACCTTGGGATCCTCTGGCCTCAGCCTCCCTCATCACTGGGATTATAGTCATGTGCCATTGTGCCCGGATACTTCAAGCATCTTCCTCATCCCTTGCAATCCATCCTGCAGGGGTGATGCTGCAGTGATCTTTTCTGGGAAAATAAAAAGAGACCTTCACTGCCTCCCATGGCAAACTGAGTGGTGAGTGCCCAGATCTGCTCTGTGACTCTCATTACTTATTACTGTTGGAGATGACCTCTTTTGCCATAGAGTCGGAATGTTAGAGGAGATGAGGCATAAAAGTGGAAAGTAATAGAATGTCCAGTGCTCTCTAGAAGGAGCACACAAGGTGTACTCTGAGGCGAAGAAAGAAGGAGTGGGTATCTCCTGAGGAGACCAAGGTGTTTCAGGCCTGTGTCCCTCATGCCTGTGCAGGTGTATCCTCCACTTCTGGTCTGCACCTGAGCTCTCTGTTTGACCCAGACATGTCTCCTTGTGCAGGAGCAGGACCCCCTTTCCTGCATGGGCCTCTGCAGATTCCACTGTCTCTGTCTGGAGCACTGCCCTCACCTTTCTGCCTGTGGAATCCTCCCGCTCTCCACACCCAGTCCAAATGGTTGGGCCTATTGAGCCGCTGGCCAGGAGGGATCCTCTGTGTGCTCTGCACAGTTTCCTGAGTGTGCAGCAACCACCTGGTCTCACATTGTATCTCCCAGCTAGACCAGAGTCTGGGAACACACATGGAAGGGTGTAACCCATAGCACTGGCTCAGGCCACGGAACATTTTCTCAGTTTGCATACTTCTTTTCCCATATGGTGAATTTATTTTAAAAATGATAGCCTATTTCAAGCATGCAGAAATGTC